ACGCTGTATGTAGAATGCTTGTTCCGAGCCCTTCCAAACTCCTCACTTACACTTGCCGTTCATCGTAGAGGTCGCAAGTTTGGTGGTGCTTGGAGTTGACAGGACTGGCCTGTTATCTAAGAGGCTACGAAGATCTTTCTTAACAATAATTATCTCGCCCCGAAGAGTTCGACAACGATGTCTAATGCGTCTACATTGCACTCTCTCATTGCTTATTGCTGGAAATGGCAGCAGTAGCAGGTCCAGTTACAAGCTTGCTCAAGTAGGTGAACTTGTCGGCAGCGCTGAGGGGGTCATTATTATGCACGGTCGTCGAGTACTGCAATTAAAAGCGATGATAATGTTGCCGATTGCAGTCGAATATCTGCGCTTGCAGTTGTGGCAGTCTCAATCTGACACCGACGGAAGGCGAGCTCATCTTTAGGCACAAGCCTTCGGACGCATGGTTGTTTTGAATCGCAAAGCCAAGATTTGACGTCAACGTGACAACCTTGTCTCCGTAAATGTTTGCATCTATCATCTCTGTCTCAAGCTCGTCAGGCATCTCGTCTAGTTTCCTCTCATCGATTTTCGTTAGCCGACTGTATACCGTGCTAATTCACTCTATCGAAACGCTGATCTGTGACGATGAGAGCACTTGCTATAGCAGGAGGCCTTCTGCTCGTTGGACCATGTCAGACAGTTGCGCTCGCGTCCTAGCAAGTCGGGCAGTCACGACGAGTGTGCCTCGTGGAATATGCAAACCACGACGACTGAAGGTCTCACGGTTACGTCGCTTAAAGAAGCCAACAAGGGGCATGGTTGCCGAGGAGCACTCTGTCACTCATGACACCGATGTGACCAGCAAATTGGAGTTTCATACTGTCTTCCCCATGTCAAATAAGAGTTGTCAGTAAGCCTTGACGTACCAGGAACCCGCTGCATACACTGGTCTTCCTCCTACCACGGAACCTGTGGCTACGCCTGCCCAGGGTGTCTGCAAGTCTGCCAATGTGCCTACTGCGACTCAAGCCACTCTTGGTAGGGTACTTGCCGCTGCACACACACCATGCTACCATTTGCCTTGTCGCTAGATTCAGGAACTGTTCTTTTACGACCGGCAAATGCCAGCGCTACCTTTCGCCGCATCCGCTTTTACCATTGCGCAAACTCTCTCGGCGCTGCCCCCGCATCAAGGAGGTGCGAGTAAACATGAAGTAAAGCTTACAAACTGTGTGACAATTGCACAGCAGGTAGCCTGCTCGGCATGCGTTGTCGAGTACCGAAACGTCCTAGGTTCGTCCTCCGTAGACGGAATTTTGTATAACTTCTATCAATGCCTATTTTTTGGCATTATTTACGTGACGTAAATACGTCACTGAAGTTTGGGTACACCTCGGCTTAAAGCCTTTTCGTGTTGAAAGATCATAGTAACAGCAGCATCATCCACAGTAGAATGAATCGATTACATTGAGGCCATTTTGGAGCTAACAGGAACACCAGTGACTGCCCACCCACTTGCTGACCGCTCAGAAAGCAGTGGTTTGGTGCAAGGTGTCGATGACGACTACACCGAGGAAGCCTTATTCGTTACCGTGACGTCCGAGGTGCCGGTAATGGCAGCCAGACAACAAGAGATATCACTGGTGTTGCAGTTCGCTTACCCCGTCCCTCTCACTCGGGTTCACCTTTTGGCAAGGTGTTCGAAGTTAGGCCCTCCTGACCGCATCCGCTTCAGTGTCTGTGGCGCAGACGCTATGGACATGTCACTGCCGCTGGCCAAGGGCTAGAGTGCTGCCTGCGGTGCGGCAGCCACCACGGGAAAGACGCCAATTGTACCAGCATGTGTAAGATGCCTACACTGTGACAAAACACAGTCAGCTGACTATGCAGACGGCCAGCTCTGGCAATTAGTGTGACGCCTGACCATCATCAAGGCCCCCACCTACCTGCCTCACGACGAGGCTCAAGCAACCTTGCGGGAGAGTTCTAGTAGGATGGGTGGTTCCTAAATAAACCACACCACGGGCCAAAGGTACGCTGAACGGTGGGTGCTTCATCCAAGGTGGCAGTCAGCTCGACAGATCTGCGCCAGTCAGGTGCATGACAGCAGGGGCCGCCTGGTAGTCCTAAGCGACCGGGCTGTGCCAAGCCTCGCTCACCTGCGAAGGCAACCTACCAGCTTCGTGCGTATTATGACGACAGAAACGTGAGGCTCCTGTTAAGAGCTTGTGTAGACCAGCTGCCTCCTGATAACACGCTGTGCTCCATCTGCCACCTTTCAGGTTGCGCGCACCCCCATAGCAGCCACCATGGTTGACACTCATCTGCGTTCTACGAGGAACCGCCGCCGCCGTCCCTGTTTGCTGCAATGCAACGCTCAGTCGTTGTGGCGGCGGAATGCAAACTGTAATAGATGGTATATAGGCAGTTGTGCTCAAAAACACAAAAATACAATTTCAGTCTGTAACCCTTCCTACATTATCATTTCAGCAATCTGTAGACACAAGTTCCGTTCCAGAGGTCTGGTTGTTATGTTTGCGAATGCCATTCATCTCCTCAAGAGAGGTAATTGATCATCTCGAAGAAAATATCTTCCCATATCCACTATCAGGGTCTGCTTCAAACTAATACAACATGTGGTGGTCTTACTAAACATCCGGCAACCAGGCAGTCGTACAGGACGGGAGATCGCATGTCCGAATCGAATATTCTTTTATGACACACATTAGAAATATGCGGTGTCTATGTGCCCTCAGGCGAGCGGCAGCTCATGAGAAGCAATGAAGATGATGATGAAGGGCGTCTGCTTTGGTGACGAAGAGGAAGTTCCAACATCTTTCCACGCCCAGCAGACGACGTGAATATTTTCTACATGGATGGTGGCTGCTTACATGTGTAGACCATTTAAACAGAGTGGCTGACTTCTACTCCGACTGCCAAAGGAAGAAGACATGAGCGGACCTTCTTTTCCCAAAGTAGTCAGCATTTGTGAGGAATGCCGTAGATGTATTAAAGCTGGGTCACGGCATGAATAGTCCCGGCTCCCTGAAGACAAGCCAGGGTGTCGATGAAGCATCCCTAGTTTAAGGCGTATCTGGTCGCATTCAGTATCTTGAACTTCTTTAGTCCAAAATTTGTAGAATGACATCGGCTCTCTCTTCTGACATTTCTTGCATCTGAACCGGCATGCTGCCACTCATGAAACTTTTATGCGTGAACTCAACTGCTTTATGACAGCTATTCATTCCACTGTCATTTGCGCACCGAAATTAAGAATAAATATCGCGGGGGAATATTCTAATAGCCCTTTTGTGTCCTGACCCAAAAATTCTGGCAACGTTTAAAAGTTGCTCTTCTATTTAGTTCCATGTCACGCGGTACTCTCGTGTCAGCAAGTCCACCGGGTTGTCCTTGAATGACTGGAAGCGCAGCCCGAAGTATCTATAGGCGTCTTCATTTTTACCATCCTGTCTCTGACGAAGGCTTTCCTTGGTCAATTTTCGAAGTGTCATGTACTTGTGGAATCTGTCAGCTTACCCTTTACTCAGGTACATAAAATTCACTTTTTGCGTTCTTCTTTGAGTGACTGTGGTTATGCTGAACTTTCTCTTGAAAGTTTCAGGGCAGGATGTGCCCGCAAATAAAATATTTGGCATATATATCAATTTCATCCTGGGAAGTTGAAATATAACTCCAGAATTCACAAGTTCTACAGCCTTCTCTAAGTTTGTTTGAGTCCCATCTTAATTAGCATTGTATGCCAATCCTCTGTTGTTGTTGTATTATTTGTAACAATTTTTTGTACCCGAGAAGAAAAGCCATTTCATCTGTGTTGAATTGTACAGTTGTTGTAAACCATGTATACTTTTTATGCACTGTAACCCACCTGCTAAAATCCCTATCTGGAATTGCAGTATTTATAAATAAATATAGAAAATTTTTCTTCTTCCGTCTAATTTCTGTCGAACTGCTCTGGCTTGTGTTAGCGGCTCAAGATCATATTCCTCATCAGCTCAGACGTGCGCACTTGTCGCATTCCCAATTTCAGTGAGAAGATCGGACACAGTTTTTTGATGCAGACACAACTTTGACGATCTGGAACTCTACATACTTCAGTCAAAGTTCTGGTCGGAAAGACACAAAAATATTCAAATTCTTTCCTTATTCACAAGTGTAATACACTCCAGATAGTAAGTATATAAACATTTCTGTAGGGGCTCTAGAATACATTCGACGTAGTAGATAAAAACAATGCGAGTTAAGCCCTCCATATTGAGCCATAATACCTACAATTGTTCACTTCTGACAACCGTGGTTCAGCAACACATGTATATTCGCACATCCACAGTGCTTACTTATTTTCTGTTTTTGAACAGAACAGCTGTTCCCTCTTTACTCCTGCAATATGTAACAGCTCCCCTCATCCACTCTATAACAATCGCGAATTCAATTTCGCCTTCTCCCCCTCATTTGTTAGGATGAAGAAGAGCGTACCAAGCGGAGACATACTAGTGCTAAAGAAACAGTTCTGTTTTTCCCTTGAGCGAGACAAGCTATTTGTCAAAACATCGGCTTGACTCAACCCCACTTGACGGAATTTTCCATCGCAACATGCCATCTCCCACTTGCTGGCGTTTTTGTCTAATTGAAGTGTTATTTTTTATTGCCACGTGGCATGCAGCCTTTCCTTGTTACATTTCATTTTTTACGCACAGTTGTTGTTGCTTGCAGCCACAGCAGTATTCCGCTCCTGAGCACACCGTGGAAAGTCTAATTTTTAAGGAGGGAAGAAGTAGACACGAAGGACAGTTTTGCATCGTGATAGGAACAAAGAAGGCTGATAGGTCAGACACGCCCACGCCAAACTAACTGTTCACCATTTTTTTTCATTCGGGTGGAAACAATCCACCTTTTTTGTACCAATGCCGAGCAGTTTCACTATTTCATTTTTTTCACACTGTGACCAGAAATATGAGCTTACAATGAAAACAATAAGAAATTTTCAACAGAATACTTACATGTGCACTACAGCGGACTCCTGCAGGATTCGCATTAGCACCGTGGCAGTGCCAACTGGAAATGTACAAAAACGTTTTGCAGTAAATGCTGTTGTGAGATCACAATAAAAGTCGGGGGCACCGTAATTATCCACCGCCGCCGCCGCCACCAGCAGCAGCTCTAGGCACTATCGCAGCAAACACGTAAAAAAGTAAGTAAATAAAAATCCACAAGGACACAAAATCATTCGAACACGGGTCTTCTGCGTGTCAGCCCGGTATTCTACCCCAGCGCCATGCCCGTGGTTTAAACTCCGTCGTGAACTGGCTTTAGCGCAGGCTTGATGTCAGGAAAATAATCGCGTAAACATCAAAAATCTTTGTTTTACGACAGCAAAGGTGCAACCAGGCGTCACGCAATGAGTTTGCGTAACGAGTGTGTAATCGGATGCTCCAAGCACGGTACGCAAGCTTCATGCATATTTCTTCATCGTCGTTAGCCACAGCATCAAATAATTTCATAAAATTGTTTGCAAAAGTGTAGCATGTATCACGCTTATGTGAAGAAGAATGAAGGGTGTCATGTTGAAGTCCTTCCTACTACACAAAAATTATGATGATTCATGCCGTAGTGGGTGCCCTGTGGTTGTGCTATTAGCAGTTATCTGAAGAGATTTTAGAAAAGGCTCTGAAAGGCCACTCTCCCAGTTTTTTATGTTACTGTACTGCGCGTTCCCCGCAGGCCCGGAGGTTTTTTGAACTAATGTTGGCAACTGGCGCTATATGCACTTCGCCGAAGTTTTCTTTCTCAATGTGACCTTCCGTAAGAGTTAGTTGCAGCAGCAGCTTTGAAGTGGCAAAAAAAGGTTGTCTATTTCAATCTCTGGTCTCTCCAAGAGAGTTGCTATCCTTAGCGAAAAGTCTGCACACGACACTAGGATATTTCTCCCTAAAACGCGGTTGCACAAAAAAAAGTTATATATGACGTTAGATAACAATGTGCCCAGGTTTTTGTTATTATGCAGTAGGCAGGGCACCAGGCGAGCGGCATTTTTGATAAAATAAATGGGGAAGCGCGAGACGATGGCTGAGAACAATAATACTGTTACCACATGTGTAATTTAGGTATGTGCACCTGTGTAGCGGGGAACATGGTGGTGGCAGAAGAAGAGGACGTTCGGTTGGTGGTAAGAGCAAGGCGTCCCCGCTATGCGTTTGGTGCAACGAAATTGAAACAATTGAACATTTCTTTTTATTCTGTCATCGTTATTCTTATCAGAGAAAAAGATTTTTGGTAGCCCTATTACAAAAGCTAGGAATACAAGTAAATCTACCACTAATTTTATCACTTGGCGGAACTTCATTTGGTTACTGCCACAGGGATGTATGCTCCGCTGTGTTTGATTACATCAACGGAACTGAAAGATTACCATGCTAGAACCCCTACCTTTTCAGATCTTTAGTTTATATTTCGTAGTTATGTCTTTCAAAAAAAAAGATGGTTTGACCGCTTACTCAGCAAACATTTTTGTTTTTTGGTAGTATTATTTCAATCCACTTTTTCAGATTGGCTTCATTTTCATTTAAGTTTCATTTAAGTATCCTGCCGCCCGGTTCTTGGTCCATCCCCCTTTGTGGGTAAGCGCCATCCATCAGAGGTCATCACCATCAGCATCAGCATCAGCTCGCTGTTGCGCGTTCACTACTGTATACCGTCGAGTGGACCGTTACGTTGGTGCTGAATAAACCCCTGTCGTAGACGTAACAGAGTGGTGGAGATGCTGGGTACGGCACGTCGACGTACCATGGAGCCACAGCTGTTTGGAGTTCGCCAGAGCCATCGCCTTGCCAGTCTTCCACCTTCAACAGTCGTCATGGCCCAGAGCGAAGGTCAGGAATCAACCACCTCGACTTCGCGCAGGTCTACGCTGGCTACACCTAGGCATCACTACATGAAACCCAGCCCGTTCGCGGGAATGGCAGGAGAAGATGTAGACGCGTGGCTAACACACTACAAAAGGGTGAGCCGGTACAACCACTGGAACTCTAACAATCAGCTGGAAAACGTAACACTGTTTCTTCCGGACACTGCCCTGATGTGGTATGAAAACCACGAAGAGTACTTGACAACATGGGCTCTTTTGGCTCAAGAGCTGAAGAAGTGTTTTGGTGACTCCCACTCAAAAAAGAAAATCGCGGAGCGGACTCTTGCTGAAAGAGTCCTGACTCCTGGAGAAACGTGCACTGCTTACACAGAGGACGTTCTTAAACTTTGCAAGATCATAAACCCACAGATGTCTGAAGAAGACAGGGTGGGACACCTCTTGAAAGGCATAACGGAAGACGTTTACAATTTTCTTATAGGCAGGGATGACCTCACCTCTGCCTCCAACGTGCAACATCAGTGCCGCACGTTTAAAAATTGAAGACTCGTTACATTGCTCCGAAATTTGGTAGGTCGGCAAATGTGACAACGGTCGCCAGCGTCGACGTGAGTCCGCTACTATTCGGGCAATTGTGCGTGAAGAGCTGCAGCGACAAGTTGGTAGGGTTGACGAAACCATTCCTCATCTACCTACCAATCCACCCTACTACACGGCGGCGCCATTAGCTCCTATGCCACCATCGGTATGTGTGGCAGACATCAGCGAAACTGGAAATCCGCGGCCACGTCGTGACTCATTCGCGGCCGACCAGCCATATGGCCAACGCCTTCGTCACGGCCCCGCCACACAGAGGTGGGCAGCCCCCGCTCAGCAAGCTCGTCACCGATCCTTCACAGCTGAGCGGTCTCAGCATTGGTTCGGCAAGCGTCTTCTACCAGTCTGCTACAACTGTGGCTTCGGAGGACATCTTGCCAGGTATTGCAACTACCGGCAGCCACCAAGGTACGACCAATCACCGAGATCTAACTGTTCTGGCGTTTCCCGAGCACCGAAATTCCCGGGCAGCGCATCTTGCGACATCCCAGGACCGCTACGAAACCGATCTCCGGCCTCTGACCGCAGTGTGACACCACCACCTGCCCCTCGCGCTAACCGATCACCGTCTCCTCGGCGCCACTACTCTTCGCCTCCTACGAAAAACTAGCCGGCGCGGCCGTTGGAGGTGAGGTCACCGGACACTCTTCGATTTCTACAGATATACCTCCGTTAGCTTCCAGGTTTAGAAATAAGGTTCGAGTGCTTATTGATGGTGTACCAACAATGGCGTTGGCGGACACAGGTGCAACCGTGTCAATGATGAGTTTAGTTTTCACCCGCCTTCTTGGGCGAAAGGTTATGTTTCGTTGGGACCGTCCTGTTACGTTTTGTGGAGTGAGCGGAGAGGTGTTACAACCTGTTGGTGTCTGCACTGTGACTGTTAGTTTGGCGTGCCAGAACTTTGTTGCAGAGTTTGATGTTCTCCCTCATACTACGCATGACGTCATTCTGGGACTCGATTTCTTGAAGCTATGTGGTGCTACTGTCGACTGCCGCACAGGACAAATTACAGTAGATTCCGATATCCCAGTTGCGTTTATGGAAAACTTGCCCCCTCAAGAAAGTGCTCTGTGCGTGTCTGTGGACACAACTGTGCCGCCGTTGTCTGCAAAATGTGTGCCTGTTGTCTGTTCCCCTGCAAGCGAGAAAACATTTGAAGCAACTGTGGCGCCCGTGCATCTCAGTTGCATAAAGAAGACAGTTTCAATACCCTACTGCACGCTATCGGTTGCGCAAGGGCATACTGATTTATGGGTGATTAACTGCTCTAATGAACCTACAGTGCTGCCGGAGGGTCTGAAACTTGCAGCGATTCGTTAACATCAAGTATTCTCGCTTGCCACCCTTGCACAAAGCAATCATTCCCCGGATAAGACCCATTGCGGTAATCTGCATGCCAGGGACACCACCAATATAGCTATGATTGATAAGTCACTCATCACGAAGAAGCGTAATGAAGTGGCGAGTATTCTGCTCAAACATGCCGGTATTTTTGATTTCGCTCAGCGTGATCCACCGTCATTCCCTGCTTCTCGTATAAAGCACCGAATCGACACGACATCTCACAGACCTCTCCGACAGAAACCATATCCTGTATCGCCTTCGGAACGCGCAGTGATCAATGAATAGGTTTGCGAGATGCTCAAGCAAAATGTATATCAAGAATCATGTAGTCCATGGCCCGCTCCAGTAATTCTAGTGAAGAAGAAGGATAGGGCATGGCGATTTTGTGTTGACTACCGCCGTCTCAACGCCATCACTAAAACAGACGTATACCCACTCCCGCGGATTGATGATGCCATCGACTTTCTGTCATCGGCCTCTTACTTTTCGTCTGTGGATTTGAGGTCAGGCTACTGGCAGATTCCAATGCACGAGGAAGACAAGGAAAAAAAAACGGCATTTGTTACAACAGATGGACTATTTGAATTTACTGTGATGCCGTTTGGACTCTGAAACGCACCTGCAGCTTTTGAGCGCTTTATGGACAACATTCTGCGTGGATGGAAGTGGAAAGTGCATATGGGTTACTTGGACGACGTTGTACTTTTTGGGCGCACCTTTTGTGAGCACAATACACGCCTTGGCCTCGTACTGGACTGCCTAAACAAAGCATGCTTGGTGCTCAACTCAAAGAAATGTCGTTTTGGGGAGCGCCAAACACTCGTCCTTGGACGTTTAGTAAACAAAGAAGGCATACGACCAGATCCCGCCAAGACGGCCGCAGTGGAGGCATTTAAGCAACCAAACTCGGTGAAAGAACTGCGCAGCTTTTTGGCGCTTTGTTCATACTTTCGCCGATTCATTCCCGACTTTGCCAATATCGCATACCCGCTCACGCGTCTGCTTCAAAAAGGTGCGCAGTTCTGGAATGCGAGTCTGCTTTTTCGGAGTTGAAGTTTCTTTTGACGTCTCATCCGATTCTTCGACACTTCAGTCCTCTGGCTCTCGCTGAGCTTCACACAGATGCCAGCGTTATTGGTGTAGGTGCTGTGCTGGTTCAACGCTTCGATAATCAAGAACACATCGTAGCGTATGCAAGTCGCTCGCTCAGCAAGTCCGAGCGTAACTACAGTATCACAGAGCAAGAATG